GGGGGGGGGGGTGAAAATGAAAATCAAATAAGGCTATTTTTGTATTCACTCATCTGTCAATTTGAGCAGCTGCAGAAAAAGGTTTCCCAACTGGAAGAGAAGCTCGACAATGAGATGCAGGCCAAAGATGAGCTGGAGCAAAAGTGCAGGTAAGATAAAACATATGATCTTGTTTGATAAGATAAGATAACCTTTATTAGTCCCACACGTGGGAAATTTGTTTTGTTACAGCAAAATGTGGACAGTGCAAAGTTATATAGCAAAAATTAGCTATATAAACGTAAATGTTAATCAGTGTTCAGTCAGCTTATTAAATGTCTTGGTTAAAAGGTTTTTAAATTAGACATCACCAAAGGATAACTGGTTTCCCTGAAGAGTTTTTTATATGGTGTGTCACTTCCTTCCGGATATATAGAAATGTTTTGTAAAACAGGAAGTGACATCCCATCCTCAAAGCTGCATTTAGAAATCCCAATATTAGGAGACGTTAAAGGAAATCCAAAAGCGGCAGAGAAAAAAAAAAGCAAGAAGAATTTCAATGTATAAATACATTTTTGAAAAGACAAATTTTAAATAACTGTGAAAAATTTTAATCTTTTTTTCCACCACCCAGAAATGCTACCAACCGTTTAGACAAACTCGTCAAAGAATTAGACAAGGAGGTAAGAGCGGGTGCATTTCAACCATGTACCTGATGGGATAAAGAAGCTCAGAGTTTGTTTCCACTCGTACTGTGTGTGAATTCCTCTCTCATCAGATGAACAGCAGGCAGAAAGTCGAGGCCTCACTGAGGCAGCTGGAGAGAGAGAGAGCTCTGCTGCAGCACCAGAGTGCTGAGAATCTGCGCAAGGTGGAGATGGAAACTGACAGGAAACGCAGCCTGGAGAACGAGTGTGAGCACCTATGAACAAATGTAGAGTGCTGTGCAAAAGTCTTGAGCTGTCCCTCATTTCTTTAAATTTTGCTTAAAAGGAGCGTCAAAGGAGGACTTCTTATTTTATTTAAAGTGATTTTGAGCAGTACTACAGAAGTTTTGAAGGTTTTTTTGTCGTTTCTTCTTCTTCTTTTTTTTTGTTCGTCTTCAGTCCAGTCCTTGTACCTGTTTCGTTTAAGCTACGTAACACTGTGGATCATCAGGCTTAAAGAACCAATCTTAAGTTGCCACTTTGTTACGAGCAGCCACAAAATCCAAAACGCATATGTTTTTTGTTTCTTTAGTTAAATCTATGAAAAATTCCAAATGTCTAACATTTCTGCACAAACAAAGTGCAAAGCAAAGAGCTTTTAACCAAAAACGTGATACATCACAGCAACAAAAGGCAGCCAACATCCACAGAAGAATTTCTAATATCCTTCATAAGTCTTGAGAAAAATTCCTGAAGACTACTTAAACTATAAGAAAGTTTGTCTAAGGGAGTTCAGGCTGCTTTGAAGAATAAAAGTTGTCACGCCGAGCACTGACTTTCAAGCTTGTTAGACGTGTACAAACTGTACATGTTTGCACCCATTTTCCTACTAAAATCTAAGGAGTTGCTCAAGACTATTGCACAGTACCATAACTAAATATCAGATGTATAACTTGTGAAATATCTTTCCATAATTTTGGTTGTCATTTGATTTTATATTCGACTCAGGCAAGTCAAATTGTGGATTTATATGTCAGGCTCAGAAATATTTATAGTTGTGGATTGACAGTATTATAATATCGTATGGATGGATTAAATTTTTTATACTACACTAACTAAAAATGACTTTGTTTTTACTCAACAGTGAACAACCTGAGGGACCAGCTAGAGGATCTGAGGAAGAAGAACCAGAATTCACACATCTCAAATGAGAAGAACATCCAGCTGCAAAAACAAGTGAGGGAAGCTTTTTAAAGTCACCTAACATGGTGTTGTCTTTCTCTTATTTTCAATTTTCCGTATCGCTGCACTTTTTTTTCTGTGTTTAATGTGTTTTTATTCATGTTAATAAAAACATACCAAATTGGTAATCCCTAATTCTGAATGCCTTCAGCATAAAAACAATTTAATCTTCTCGTTATTTATTTTCCTTCCCTTAATATCCGTAGCTTGAGGACGTCAATGCTGTGCTTCAGGCTGAGCAAGAGGCTGTAGCACGGTTAAAGAAGAGTCAGGCGGAGGTGCAGAAACAAGCCCAGAGCCTGGAGGTTAGCCTCGGGGAGATGCAGGAAAAGTGCAGCCAGCTTGAAAACGGCAAGATGGAGCTGGAGAAGCAGCTGAGGGGGCTGCAGGCCGAACTGGAGGAGGAGAGGAGAGGCCGCAACATGGGGACAGAAACTATTAATGACCTACAGGGTGAGACGTGGCTCTCTATTACACTCTGACAGCAAGAGGTATTAACACAGCCATAAACAGATTTAAAGCAAGGTTATGTGAGTTCTGTTTGGACTCTCTTGTTGGTAGCCAGTTGTAGGTAAACTACAGGCTTCATCAGCAATGTTCAGAAGTAAAATTATGTTAAGCTATAGTTGCTTAATCTTTTTTCAGCAGTTCATCATCAAGCTTTGATTTGTTTTGTCAGATAGTTAAAGGTCATCGAATGAATACCTCTGCAGTGAAATACTGATTTACTCACCCTAACCACAGGTAATCAGTGTGATCTTTATACTCCCTAAAAGTGACTGCAGTAAACAGAGCAGGAAAAAAAGATGTTATGCAAGTTGGAGTTGAAGGCTCAACATTAGATGTGAATCACTTTTCTGGATCGGGCACTGGGAAATGTCTGATCATAGGTGGAAACATCTGCTCAAAAGCCTGAGAGTGAAGCAAGTGGCCGTAAAAGCCAAAGGAAAAGCCAAACCAGAACCTTTTGTGGAAACTTAAGCATGCTCACTCCTGGCAGAGAGGCCACTGGCTGAGGTCAGAGGGGATGTACGTAGACCACAGTGTTACCTGTTTGTTGTGATGTCTGATGATCCCCCCCCCCACCCCATGTCAGAAACTCCGTGTGGGTGGAGTCAGGGAAAAGAAACACTGAGTGCAATGTTTTCTGCATATTTAAAGATGTATGTGGGCTGGGATATTATGTAATGTCTGAAGCTGAACAGTTCAGGCACAGTTTTTAATTTACGACACGTTCGGCTCAACACTGTCACATCGTATAGAATCTCATGATGGTAGCATCTTGACAAATAAAAAGAATACATGTAATGAATGTTATTCATTCTTTTAAACAATTCCGATTGCTCTATTTAAGGACGCATCTCAGGGCTGGAAGAAGAGGTGAAAGAAGTGAAGTCATCTCTTTCCAAGGTCCAGACTGAAAAAAAGGAGCTACAGGAGAAGCTCAGTGAGCTTGAGAAGGTTGTTTTTGATTACTCATTACAAATTTCCAAATTGAAGGGAGAAGTGTTCCTCCTTAAAAACTTTTGTTCATTAAATAAGACACTATGACTCCAATATCCATCTTTGACCCTTTAGAAAAAGAGCAACCAAGAGATCGACCTTACGTTCAAGCTGAAGTCCCTGCAGCAGAGTCTGGAGCAGGAGGAGGCAGAGCACAAGGCCACCAAAGCCAAGCTTGCTGATAAAAAGAAGACCGACCAATCCATAGAGGAGGCAAAGTCCGAGGCCTTAAAAGGTGAGGAAGTGGGAGGGAGGGAGAGGGAATGTGATGGTTTACACCATATTTAACTCACCTAACCAAAGTAAGGCATTGCCTTAAGCAAAAGCCAGTCATGAAAGAGAAAAGGTGACTTCTGCTACTTTTAAAAGCTGTTGAAGAAACAAATGAAGGGTCGATTGATGTTAAACATTACTGACAAATAATTCTAGTTCATTCCCAGCAGGCTGACAGAAAACTCGGAACAGACTGACGTTTAGATTTGCTGCTGATTGTCCCTCTCGTGTTAGTCCATTTATTTCATGCCACAAGCAAGTTTACTGAAAGGCAGCAATGATCTGGCAATACTCCAGTGTCGAGCGCAGTGTAGATTGTCCTGCTCATGTCTTTCCTTGCGATTTCCTTCGGTTCAGAGATGGAGTGCACCCTGCAGGAGGAGCGCAGCTTGAAGATGCAGGTGGAGGGAAAGCTGCTGCAGCTAAAAAAGGACTACTCCATGCTGGACTGTGATTACAAGCAGGCGCAGAACAAGCTGGATGAATTTCAGGCACAGAAGGAGAAACTTTCTGAAGAGGTTTGTCCCAAATGAAACATGAACGACAAAGTAGTAACTTTAGACATTGTTTTGAAGAAATGATCCTACATCAAATATTAAGAGTTTCAAAGTTACCCATTTTAGCAATTTCTAAAACAACAACCTCACAACAGCTCTCATTTACTAACGGCGTGAACGCACAAATCTGTTCATGAATCGAGCTCACAAACCTTTCATACACAAATCAGTATTAATATTTTTAGATCTGAAGTTGTTTTTTTTTTTTGTAGCATGAACAAATTTACAAGTATTTCTGATCATGCATATAAACAAATGGCCTGGCTGTTCTAGGAGTTTTAAGCGTAAGTCTTAAAAATGAATACTGCTGCTACTACTACTACTTAATATTGTAACCCTTATTGTTATTAACATTATTATTATTATTTTGTTTCTATTACTACCACACCACTTTTGGGTCATTATTTACAGTTTTCCAAGTCCATAAGCCATAAAATCCTCAAATAAAGTAAAATAATTAATGGAAAGCTCTCTGGTATTGCTTATCTTATTTTAAATGATCTTTTCTTGTCATTGTAAATGACTTCCATCATTTCTGGATATCATCACTTACACTGTCATTTCCTGGCAACAGATGCTATTTATTTATTTATTTCTTATTATTATTATTATTATTATTATCATTTAATATTTGAGGATTTTAACATTTTTTCTCACTTGTGCCACAGCGAGCATCTCAAGACCTTTTACTAAACCTGAGGTTTTCTCCCTCTCTCTCTCTCTCCCCCCCCCCACTTTTCATAAATCCAACAGTACTTTTTCATACACACTTGTTAAAATTAAAGTAAATTAGGGTGTTTACCTAATCCACTCAGCAATGGCAACTGTGGAAAAACAAATCAAACCTGAACAGAATGGATAAAACTCAACAAAGTAGCAAATGAAGGAGAAAATCTGGTTCCATTGTGTGCAATGATCATGACTACAACAAGGAAGGTGTACCATGGAAAGAAATTGTGCCTTGCAATGCAGGATTCAGTCAGTATTATCATCGTTATAGTATGTGTACTATGTATATAATAGTCATCACACTGCTTGACGTAAACTTTCTAGACTGTTGAAATTTCACATTGTGATTTTACTCACTGAAGAAAAATTCATTTGGGGGTAAAATCATATTCTGCACCTGGCCATGGCTTTGACTGAACAAAAAAAACATTATCACAGACTTAATATCTACGTTCTGTGGTGATGAACGAGGAAAGCTAGGTGGGTGACCAACGGCCTCTTGTAATGAGCATTTGATTTTATTTTCAAGCATTTTGTACAAAGTGGTGCTCAGTTAGTCTAACCAGCTACTAGTAGGATTAACCACAGCTTTGACTCCCTGCTTGTGTCTTTGCAGGTGTTGCACCTGACCTCACGTCTGGAAGAGGAGATGCACAAGCGGAGTATGAGCCAGAGTGAACTGAAGATACAGAACCAGCAGGTGTCTGTGCTCCAGTCCTCTGAGAAACAGCTCAAACAGGAACTCAACCAACTGTTAGACATGAAGCAGATGCTGGAGAAACAGAACCAGGAACTACGCAGGTCAGACACATGTCCATATCCTGCATACTTGTTCATTTTAATTTCAGTATATACTGCAGCTGCCCTTAGGAAGTATTTAATAGCACATACTTCATACTACTTTTGACGCGTCTATATTGCAGAGGATTGTGCATCAAAATGCCCTGAAAAGCATGATGGCTCGCTTTATGCAGAATGCAACCACATGCAATTGCACAACTTGGTACTTTTAAAATACAGTGTACTCGAACAGACTAAATCTTTTTCTGGCTAACTAAGTAGGTAGTATGAGTATTGGACTGCACCCATGATATCTAATGAGCATAATATGCATATACAAATATAGCAAGAGTATTAGTGACTTTAATGTTGTTGGCAAGTCTCATTCATTTCCTCTGATTTAAAGACATTGCTTTGGCTCTGGTGTTCAGTTGGCCTGCAGCAATGACTGACAGATTTCTGGTGCTGTTTCAGGGAAAAGCAGGAGGCTGATGGCCAGCTGAAGGAACTGAAGGACCAACTGGAGGCACAGCACTGTTTCACAGTAACTCTTTCTTTTCTTTTCCTTTTTGTGCATGCTATCTAGCTCCTCACACGTTTACTCTGTAAGTGTAATCTAAAAACTGATTGGGTCTACGTGATTTCTTTATCAAAGACCCTTTACAAGACGCAGATCCGTGAGATGACGGATGAGCGTGATGAGAAGAATAAGCTGTACGAAGAGGTGCAGCAGCAACTGGCAGAATACCAGGAAGAAAGGTAACTGTGGCTGCTGTGCTTTGATTAGCCGACTCTGCTTTCAGTATAAAAAACACTGTAAACACTTAATCACCAGATTAGTATGGAAATTGACATAAGCAGCAAAAAACTAACCATTCAAACTTGCAGTTTTTAAATGTGTATCTCAACTCTACAAAATTCATTTTATCTGTACTTGAAGAATATAACAGTCTTCTCAGATTAGTGTCATTTCCCTTGTTCAAATTAATCTCAGCCAAACAGAAGGACACGACCTTTCACAGACTGAATGAAGCTGAACCAGATTAGCAGCTGTCCCAGATGCACTTGAGCCAAACATTATTGTGGACAAATAATGCTTTCAAATTCAGCAAAGACAAAAAAGTCCCAGAAATATCAGTGCATGGTAGCACTACAGGCTGTTGATTTTTAGGTAATAACAGCAGGGATCTTCCTGTCTTTCTAGGATTTATACAGCTCTGGTAATTAATAAGATAATGGTAATTCATGCTCTCTTTCCCTCTGCAGAAAGTCACTGACAACCCGGCTGGAAGAAAGCTTGACCAAAGCAGACGCTGAGACGTTGGCTCGTTCTGTCGTTGAGGAGCAGTTCTCCAATCTGGAGAAAGAAAAGATCATGAAGGAGCTAGAGATCAGCGACATGATGATGAGGCACCAGCAGGAGCTCAGCGATAAGGAGGCCACCATCAGCTCGGTAAGATCGGCGAAGTTTTGTTTGTTCGAGCCAAAAAATGTTTGTTAGCTGTTTGGATGAAGTCCCTGCCTGCTGTTGCTATATTTTTTTTGCAACTTATCACCTTCTCAGAAAATCTTGACACTTCTGTATACCACTGGTTGTAGCTAGAAACTCTGCAAGGTATCTTTAATGCCCTGGGAAATATTTAGTTATGTCAGTAGCAATTTACCCTCAAGACCATCATTTGTGCAACCACATAAACTATTAAGAACAATAAGAGTCACTAATGTTTGGCTTGGCTTTGTTCCCTTTTACTCATTCTGGAAAGCTCAAAGTACATTCAAGTATTCTTGTCACCTGACTGCTATGCAGAGTATCCACTGATAACATCGCCTCACCTCTGCTCTATCCACCTTCACAGCTGGAAGAGTCCAATCGTACTCTGACGGTGGATGTAGCCAACCTGGCCAGTGAGAAGGAAGAACTCAACAACCAGCTGAAAGAAATGCAACAAAGTGAGCGTCACTCTTCTGTAATGAGCAACCGATAAAACAAATTTCTATCAAGAAGTCATTTCCTCCAAGTTATAGAATGTGTGTTAAAAGTTGGCATTATTTATGCAGATAAAGATGTAAAATTGTCAGAAAAGTAGCCACTGTTGTGTTTATCGAAAAACAGAGTATTTCTCCTCTAAATTGTTAACCAAATTTCTGAAACATTATGTTAAGAAACATGTATGAGTTTTGATTTGCTATTTTTATAGAACTCCAGAAAGCAAAAGATGAAGAGAACTCTCTCAAAGAGTCCTTTGAAAAGCAGCTGTGGAATGAAAGAACGCTAAAAATTCAGGTGTGTGTCTGGGTGCCTGCACAGGTCTGGAAAGTTTGCTACACTTTATTTTTTGCATGCTACTCTTGTGTCACATCAGTTGTTAAGAGCAATTTTCTGCTACAGGGTTGTGTTGAACTCTGGGTAAAAGTCACTGAAACACATAACATATTGCTGCAGGCTTTCCTGTTGAATTTACCAGGCTTGTATTTATCATAAATAGATCTCTGTAAAAGTATATAATACATGATTTTTTTTTTTTTTCTCTCAGGCTGTGAACAAACTGGCTGAGGTGATGAACAGGAGGGAGAAGGTGCGGGGAGGCCACCAAGGCACTGACACCGAGGTGCACAAGAAGGAGAAGGAGAACAGGAAACTGCAGCTGGAGCTGAAAGCAGAGAAGGAGAAATTCAGCACCGCCATCGTAAAATACCAGAACCAGCTGGCTGAAATGGAGGCGGTCAGTACACCCACACTCCCAGAAAATAAACGCACGGCGTATAAGCAGATACATTTGCCAGAAAGAATCAGTGAGATACTGAGAGAGGCTGAATTTTGATTACCAATTAAAATTCTTACTGTAGAGAAGGAGACGGACAGAGATACTGGGGAAAAAGATTTGCTAGAATTTCTCAATATTTAGTGTCAGCTAGAGATTTGGAGTGCTTTCTACAGGACCTGAGCTGAGAGTGCATAGAAGATGGATGAAGCTTTATTACGATCTATTGGTTTGTTTACTTTTGTTTAAAAGCCTCAAGTTTACTATTATTTCCCTCAGCATCTTGGTTTTTTGAAGCCAGAAATGGCCATATTTGAATGAAAAGTGTTTGAGGGTTGGTAGGGATGGCCAATTCATAGTGGTAAATTCCCAAATAATACTCGGTGGATCACAGACTTCTTGGACAGTTTTGTTTTTGGTTTTTTGTTCAGTTAACAACACACACGGAGACCAAAATATTTGGCTGATTAATTGCATTTAAAATGCTTCCAAGGCTACCGACGGCCCCAAACATAGACAAGAGCTCCATATAGTGACTTTGTGAGCAGTACTGTCAATCAGTGTTGATGGGTATTGTCAGCGGCAGCATGGACACCCAACTTTGTGAATACAGTAAGTCAAGAACGAGGTGATGTAGGACTTTCAAATTGATATCGTAAGTGCATCCACTAGGAGGCTGAGGAGTAGCACTGGTGGCCATTAGTGTATTTATTTTAAAACTGTGGAAGTTTAACTACTAATCTCTAATCATCTTTATTTCTACTGGAAAGTTGGGCACTTTCATTCTGCACATGGACTCTTTTCAGTCAGCTTCAGGTGGCCATTCAAGGAATTGCAGCTTGATATGTTTTGGTTTTTTTTTTTTTTTTTTACTTCATTTAAGATGCTATGAAATTGTATAGGGGAAAACATTTCTCCATGTTTCTGTGTTTCTAATTATTTCCCCAATATTCTGCATTAGATTGATAATGCAGCAAGTGAGAAAGTGAGTTCAGCTAACAAGCTGTTTGTTTATTTAGCTGATGGCAGAAGAGAACCAGATGCGTCTAGATCTTCAGATGACGCTGGACAGTAAAGAGAGCGACATTGAGCAGCTGCGATCCCAGATCACATCCCTCAGCATTCACTCTCTGGACTCCACCAGCATCAGCAGTGGCAACGACTTAGATTTAGAAGGATACCCAGGTAGACCCTTCATCCTGCTGTCACCATCACAAAGATTTGCTTTAACATTTATATTCAGGGCCCGAAAGCACTTCTTTATACCTTTCTTCCAGTCCTTTCTTTTTCCTCATTATGCCTCTTCCTTTTCATCCCTTTTATTTCACCTTAACTTCTCTCTTCATGGTCCGGTGCAGTGCGCATTACTCACTCTCACACCTCAGAATCAATGTCCTTCACCTACCAGCGCACACACAAATCCGTCTGCATCGACACTCGGCCAAACCTTCGCTCGGCTCACGCTCTCTTTGGCTCTGACTCTGAGGACGAAGAAGAGCATGATGGGCATCAGGAGCGGGGCCAAACTCCCCTGGCCCTTACCTATGAACCGTCCTCTGAGCCTGAAACCGAACCTGAACCTAGAGGTGACCCTGCATGGCAGTTCAAAGCCACGATGTGGATTGAAACTAAAGCAAAGCAATTTTTTGAAAGAGCTTTTTACAATATTTATCCATAAAATTATGGATGGAGGGTTCATTTTCTTCCCTAATTTGAGTGAGTTTGGAATGAAATAACTCCAAACCCTTGCCTGACACCGCGAACCTGTAGCTAATCCCTGTACAGTTTGGCTTTCTCTCTAATCCTTGCAATGCAAACACGCACAGCTTGATACAGCACGGCTTTGCTAAAATTTATTCCACTACAAAAGATTTGGAGAGTGAAGTTGTGTGTGGATTTCTGCTAATAATTAAGTTCCTTTCTTTCTGGATATCTCTACTATGCACATGTTATGTTTTGGAATTGCAGTTCCTTAGAAATCTTGTAGTTCTCGCGTAATAGTCTCAAACCAGAGGATAGGACATCCTGTGCCTTGCCCTTTTGTATTACTGAGGAATAATTTCCTTTCTGAATGCTATCTTCTTAAAGAAAGTGCCACCAAAGCATGAGACTGTCAATATGTGCTTTTAAGTGATTCGCACAATTAGAGGTTTTTGTCTTTTGTATGTTAACACCTTCCTGTTTTTCCAGACTCCAGGCTGGAGGGCTGGATCTCACTTCCTTCCAAGAACACCAAGCGATTTGGTTGGGACAAAAAAGTAATGAATCCACCAATATTTCTTGCATTTAAAAAAAAAAAATTTCCCCATATATTGTTATATTGTTTATTGTTTTCCATTTCCTTTACAGTATGTGGTCGTGAGCAGTAAGAAGATCCTGTTCTATAACAGCGAGGTGGATCGAGAGCAAGCTAACCCTTTCATGACCCTGGACCTTGAGTGAGTCATTAAAAGCACCTTTTAAACATGGAACACATTAGTAAATACAGTGGTCCCTCGTTTATCGCGGGATTAACGTTCTAAAAATAACCCGCGATTATTATAGATGTTTTAAGGCTGTAAAACCTTTTTCAAGCCAGGTCTAGAGTTCTAGATCATCATAACTGTAACCTTTGTCAAATCTCACACTTTGAGAGAGCAGCACCAATCATTGTTAGCCAGTGGTGCTTTGCAATATCATACTAAAATAAATATCTGAATCCCAAATAACTGAGATCATCTAAAATATAACACTGAATTTGATTCAGAACATGTTTTTTTTTCTTTTGTTTGTCCAAATTTTAAAAAAAAAATAATAATCATTTTACATTTTAAGTCACCATCTTTTTCATCAAATGCTCCACAGAGAGCATGGTGACTCACCGCAAAGTTAAAGCTGTGCAGATTTTTGGTGGAAAATAATGGAAATTACCATAGAAAAAATCAGCTCAAATAAAGACCACAAAACTACTCAGAACTACACAGAGCAGGTGGAGGTCCAGTCATTTTTCACTCCTGAAACTCAAAGGTTTGTGCTTTCAGAGTGTTAAATGCCACAGTTACAACACATCTCTCAATACTGTCCTACTTTATGCCACTTTACCTTAAAGAGACTTGGTTACCCCGATCCAGTAGTTGTCTGGAAGTTAAGGCAAAACTAAAAATGATGAATGCTGCCGGGTGTTGGATTCATCCTCTGGGAATAATCAATCTTTGCAATGGCAAACAGCAACATGGGAATAAGCTAAAGCCAGTGTAAACAATGGGACTTGATAATAATGCAAGACAATAAAAACAACCAATCTTCTTTTCTTTAATAAATTTGAATCACTCTATATAAAGTAGGTTTCTCATACTGGGTGGGCATTAGACTTCATTTCTGCATCTCTCTCACTCTTTCAGTAAGCTGTTTCATGTCCGACCTGTAACTCAGACTGATGTGTACCGTGCAGATGTCAGAGAAATTCCAAGGATTTTCCAGGTAATGAGTTGAGACCATCCCTGTTTCCTTCTCTTTATTTTCTTGCTTTTACAGACCTTCAAGACAAAACTTCCTCTGTAACTTTAAGTTTTAACTGCATTTGCCGCCTTCTGTCTCTCCAGATCCTATATGACAATGAAGGTGAGAGCAAGCGTGAGCAGGATGCTGGAGCTGAACCCACAAACTCTGGTGATCGCGCCTCATACATCAGCCACAAGGGCCACGAGTTCATTGTCACCCTCTACCATTTCCCATCCAACTGTGAGGTCTGCACCCGGCCTTTGTGGAACGTCTTCAAGCCTCCACCAGCGCTCGAGTGTCGTCGCTGCCACACCAAGTTCCATAAAGACCACCTGGATAAAAAAGAAGTTATTATACCCTGCAAAGGTCAGCATGCTCACTCAGGATTTAACAGGAAACTTGATTTTTACGGTTGCACTAAAAATACCCAAGAATCTGTACATAGTACATGCATCTGGGTTCAAACATCTGGTTAACAAACAGCCCAAAATATTAAAATTAATTGCTGTCAAAATTCAAAATAAAGAAAACGCACATAAACACAAGATTAGAATGGCACCATCATGTAATAGATTTATGTATACATCATAGACTTGATATTGGGGTGGGGGAGGTGGGTGGGTCCAAAGCTGTTCTTTCTTGTTCTCGCACACATCAGGATATAATCCACCTCACACAGGCTGCCTGGGTGGAGTGCGCAACAGGCAAGAGACACTAGAGTGCAATCAGATATCACACAAAACTTAAATGGTTAAACCCATTTAATGTCCCATCTACTGCATCCAATATTCACATTCTCACATGTCTACATGTCTAAAAAAGATCAAAGCTAAAGTGGATGTATGAAAAGCTGCAAAATCTAATCTTGGTCATAAAAAGGGAATCTCTCTCTCTTAATCTTTTTTTTTTTTTAATCTTATTAACAGTGAACTATGACATCTCCACGGCCAAAGAACTACTCCTCCTGACCAGCTCTCAGACGGAGCAGAAGCACTGGGTCAGTCACCTCCTTAAGCGCATCCCGAAACACCCGACACTGAGTCCTCCCCCTGTGGCACGCAATTCCCCTGAAAAAATACCCCATTCCTCTCCACAAGTATCCCCACGACCTTCGCCCAAGTCCTCTCCTCGCATGTCCCATCGAGGCGCTGTAAAGATCCAATCCACTCGGCAGCAACCGTCACCGGGGAAGCCAAGGTGAGAAACCCACAAAAATAAGTTTGGAAATTTTACTTTATTCTTAACTATAAGCTTTAATTTTACATACTGTCTAGGGGTATCCCCTTCACAGTCATCTAGGAAAAATGTTTTTCAGTTTTTATTATTATAATAATAAAAGTGAGCATGTTTGAGAAACTTCACCAACATTGATGTTTTAAGAAACTAACTACAGAAGTATAAAAATGCAATTTGTTCGAATATTTATGCAATAAAAATAATATGAGCATTTGTAATTTAAATGAAATAAATATGCAGCAAATGCTGCTTGTTATTTTACTTGACTAATCTAGTGCTCATCAGGAGATCCTTTGTGTTTTGATTTGTGCTTTCTTGGCCTTATTCTCTTCTCACTTTCAATTGTCTGAACCTTTTCTGAGCTTTCGTTAGCATGAAAAATACCGTATTTTTTTCCAAACTGTTTGATTGTGATGAAAAACGCTGTTTCTTAACTACATTGTCTAGCTTCTGCATAGTTGAAACAAACCCAAAGCTCTGGCTGATGTACAATATTTTGCTTTAAACTGACTTCTGAACCTTCCCATCTGCATTAATGATGCAGCATTAATGCATCATTAATGCACAGCACCTCACCGAGCATCAGCAGTGACTTAACTGAGTAGAAGATGGCATCAAACCTTTTGTGGGACTAATTAACTGTATCTGTCTTGTTTTATGAGAACATTAATGCAGTTAGTAGTTTCAACTTTCAGCCACACCCTAACTTGCTTTTGTCCTTCAGCACTGGCCCCATGCTCCGTATCATCCTCCACTGACCCCCGATCTCTTCACCTCTGACCCCACCATTTCTAACGTCTCTCATGCTGGGAGACTGTAAGTAGCATAGCTTGGTGACCCTCTCCACCTGCATCGCTGCCGTGTCTATTAACCCACTCATCATAGAAAGCAGCGTAAAATACCTGGTGAACCCCTAACCATCCCGCTGGTGCCCCCTTCTGACAGTGGCATGTGTTGTCTAGCATATTAACGCATCACTAAAGGCTGTCTGTTAAGGTACACAGCCATCCAGGTCATCATAGTCTAAGGAGCTTGGAAAGAAAAGCATTTGGACTTCTTTAAGTTTCTCCCAATAGGACTCTCCCTTTTGAGAGTGTCCCTAAGGAAGGTCCTGATAGACACTTCCGATCGGGCTTAAAAATCTGGGCCACTCCACCAATTGCTCTTAGAACTGAAGAAGCTTCTCGGATGAGAGGCAAAATGTCTTCAAGAAACTAAAGAAGTCCAGACACTTTTCTTTCCAAACTCCATAGATCACTAAAGGCTCTTTGACCACTAAAGGCTCCTTGAACGCCTCATACTTGATGTTTCAGACTGTTTGAGTTTGACCTCAAAGACTGGAGTTGGGCATTGGATGATGACGATAATCATGATGATGATGATATGTTCTTCTGAAGAAAGTTAAAGAGGAGGGACAGAGGGTAACTGGACCTCTGCATGAGATGTGTGGCTTTAACGTATTGAGGCATGCTTTTGTGTGCTTTCCAAGTTTACAGCTAAATGCAAGTCACCTCGCTGTTAATCCCGAAGTTACAAAATGTTTCCGTTAATATCACCAAAAAGTAGAAATATTAGGGAAAATTCTGGTTCGACATGTTTGGAAGGAGTAAATCCATGAAATAATATAAAGTTTTTCTTTTAAATCTTGCTTTTAAGATGACAAAAAGTGGTTAGTTATCTTATCTTATCTTAGCTTAGCTTAGCATGAACCTCAGGTTATTTCTTTTGAATGTCAGTTAATGTGCAAATCAGCAATTCTCATAATTTGTGGGATCAATATTTATTAGTAGGTTATATTCAAGTGAGACGGGTGCTAGTTGTTTGTCCCTGTTTTTTCCTTTATACTAATTGCTATAGTTAGCCTAACCCCTTTTACAGCAGCCATTTTGACATGAAATAGCAAGTAAACACAACTGTTGCTAATCACACTAATTGAGGCTCTTTAGCTTAAAAAGAATAGAAGTCAAGTGAGTAGCAACACGTGTTTTCCTGCTGTTATATGTCTACGAATGGGCGTCTTCCCTGTAATATTAAACCATTTCTTCTACTTCTATTTTTCTTTGGGCAAACATGCACACTAATAAATATAACTGTGTCTGCCTGCTTTTTTCCCTGCATCTACACTTTTATTGTGTGATTACTGGGTAGCTTCCTTGTTTATTAGTCTATGTGTGGATTTTGTGTGGGTGTGCCTTTGAAGTCCTGCCATACTGTTGGTAGCATACCAGGTTTTTCTCATCTTCTTTTTTGTATTTTCCTCTATCTTCACAGTTAACCCTGGCTAATATTTTCATCCGTGTGGAGTAATGGTGGTCTGGAAGCAGTGCCTACGTGTGTTATGTTTTTTCAGAGAAGACTGTCAAAAAAAACAAAAAAAACCCCAAAAAAAAACACTAATACAGACAGAAAACTGGCTGACGTCATGAGAAAAAGGATTTATTTTTTGGTCATTTTAACAAAAGGAGAATCAGGACAGTCTTCCCATTACAGTGATTCATCCAGTGAAAAGATGCGACAATCTTCACGATTAAACTGCCCTATTTTCTTTTTTCTTTTTAATCATCATAATTATGACAAGACTTTATTTTCTTTTTCTCTTTGCGTTTGTAAAAAGATTACGCATGTGTTTGAACATTTGTATATACGATAAATATCTATATCTGTGTATTGTAGCACATAACGTGAAGCTAATAGTATATATGATTGTTTTGTTTCTATGACCACATCACACACTATATATGGTTGTCCTGTAAATGTATTAAAACGGTTTTATGGCTTCTTTTTGAGTGGAAAATGAGCCTTTAGAAGTACATCTGTTATAACATGCGAGAGAACAATGTGAACTCAACTGAAACAATGTTGTTTTTTTTCTTGCGCTTCATGACAATTATTGATGGTTCATATATGTTTAAAATCCCATGTGTAGAATTTTTGGGGTGATACATTAAAAACAATGTAAAAAATCAAGACTTAAGCATTTCAATTAGTGCCTCTGGTGATCGTATTTGTTTGTTGTGCATGCCTATTATTTAAAAGTTTTTGAAATTTGTAGAGAGTGCATCTAAAGCATTGGTGATGTACAACTGCTGCCTGATCGGGTCTAAATGGAAAGGAAATAATTTATATCAATTAACGTGGTGTATGAAACAAAACGTGGAAACAAGGGCTAGTACGTGGTCTCTCAACCCATATCTATCATGTGACTGTTTTTGAGTTGTTAGTGTTAATATTAATGAAAAAGCAGTTTATTCTATATTATATTGGTAAACAACAAAACAGTACCAAATAATTATGTTATACTACAGCTATGAGTGTATTTAAAGTGACCATTTGTATTACACCAGTATAGGTCCGGCTTTGTCTCACTACAGTATGTGGTGGTGAGCAGTAAAAAGCTCCTGTTCTATAACACTGAGCTGGATGGAGAGAAAGCAAACCTTTTCATGACCCCGGACAATGAGTGAGTCATTAAAAGCAGCGTTCAAAAATGTTATGTTCATTGACTAAATGAGAAGTACTTTGTGTACCTCATGATGCAAAATACTAAGCAAATGAAAATTCTAGCAAGGCTCAACGGGAAAAGCTTTGGAATCTGCAAATGGGTTTTAATTTCCATAGGTTTTACACAAAAACATTCACAATCCATCCAGTACAGTTTTACCAAATGCAACTTTGTCTAAAATGTAGAGGATTATCCCAAATTTTAATTGTTTCTAGTTTTCAGACCTCAGCATTGCAGGAAATACCCTTTTGTTGGTTTTTTAAGGGTCCGCTTCTATCAACCAAAGCAGGTGAACCTGTCATCATCTTTTCCATCTTATGTAATACTCAACATGGAGCATGAAGAGTTATAGCAAAATCAAAGCTGTGCAGGTTTGGTGGAATATAATAGAAACTGCTGTAGATAAAATCTGCTGCAATAAAGGCCATGAAACTGCTTATAACTGCACAAAGCCGTTGGAAGATGAGTAATTTTTCACTTTCCCACAGGATAGAATATGATGTGCCCGTCTATGTATATGCACATTTTCCTCCTGTAACCCAAGAGTTACACGAATAGAAATATGATATGAACACATGAATGTACATTGCTCTTCTGGGAATCTGGGAAAATTACATCCATATAAAATGTTTTGTCCTTCAATTCATTCAAAATTTTAACCTTTCTCTTAACATTTACTTCTGATTACTCTCATCTAGAAACTGTTTGGAAATTTTTGGTTTTAGTTAATCATGTTGGTTGTTGGGTTTCAATTCATATATATATAATGGATCAAATAAATCTAAACAGAAAGATGACGGCAAAAAATGTGCGATTCAGTTGGTAATGAAATAAATAATCTCAACTGACTTGATTTGCATATTATTGGCATTTTCTTTACAATATTTTTAAATCATTCTATACCTAAAGTAAATATCTTGCTAGGTTAGCACTAGACTTAACTTCTCCATCTCTCTCCCTGTTTCAGAAAGCTGGTTCGTGTCAGATCTATAAGTCAAAGTGATGTGTACCGTGCAGATGTCAGAGAAATTCCAAAGATAAAGGTAATGAGTTGGGACCATCAATGCTTTCCTTTCTGTCATAGACTTTCAAGACTCATCAGCTATCCTATCTTCAGTTTACCCATCTGCTTCAAGTAAATGGTAAGTGTTGCATTTGCCTTCTTGTCTCCCCGATCCAGTATAACAGTGAAGATGACATCAGGCATGAACAGGATACTCCATTGGAACCCGTGCCGCATGGCGATCGCGGCTCCTACATCAACCACAGGGGCCACGAGTTTATCCTCGCGCTCTATCATTTTCCGTCCAGCTGTGAGGTCTGCAGCCGGCCTTTGTGGGACTTCTTTAAGCCTCCGCCAGCGCTCGAATGCCGCTGCTGCCACGCCAAGTTCCACAAGGACCACCTGGATAAAAAAGAGAACGTTATTGTACCCTGCAAAGGTCAGCGTGCTCACTCAGGACTTCAGGGAGAGCTTAACTTAAACAAATAAAGATTCATTTTGGATTTTTGAGTGATTTTATGTACAACCTGAATTCCAAAAAAGTTGGGATGCTGAGTAAAATGTCAAAGACAGGATGCAATGATCTGCAAATCTCATGAGCCCATATTTTATTTATAATATGACAGAGAAAGTATGTCAGATGTTTAAAATGAGGAATGTACTTTTTTTTAAGTTCATTTGATGGCAGAAATGGGTCTAAAACTGTGTACCATCTCTTCTTTTAACAATAGTCTATAAATGTGGGAACTGAGATGCTGGACTTTTGGGAGAGGAATGTTGTCCCATTCTTGTCTCATTTAAAATTCTAGCTGCTCAAAAGTCCTATGTCTTCTTTTTTTATGTTTCATGATGTGCCAAATTTCCATTTGTTGGCTTGAACTGTAGTGTCTCGCTGAAATATGTGAGGCCTTTCCTGAAAAAGACGCCTTCTGGATGGGTATATATGCCTTTCGAGATCATGGCTGCACAATATTGTTTTTTATCTTTGTCCCTTGCGCACAGAGATTTCTCTGGATTTCCAGAATCCTTTGATGATATTATGGAATACAGAAGATGACATATTCAAAGTCTTACGCCATTGTCTTGAAATTATTCCATAATTTGTGAGTGGATTATTTTGCATCTCTGCCCATTTAGAGGTGCTCATTTTATGTTAATTGTTGCCAGCTAATCTAATTGGTTGTAAAATGTTCCTTTCTTTTACTTTTCCAGCCCTTTGTTGCAATGTTACATCAAAGTGAGCTAATATTTTTTTCATGTTAAGCATTTGATATCTTTTCTCTGTCCTGTTGGGAATAAAATAGGACGTTATGAGATTTGCCAATCCTTCCATTCTGTTTTTATTTACATCATACAGAATCCCAACTTTTGAGGAATTGGTCTTCACAGATTTAGCTAGCAAATGTAGGTGTGGATTTTGTGTAAGCAACCTGGGATTTCTCATTTCCTTTCTTGTGTTTTTCTCTTCACAGTGAACCCTGGATAATATTTCTGTTCACATGCAGTAATGGAAGCAGTGTCTACATGTGTTGTTGGGAGTGACAAAATCCAAATACTAATGTGGACAGAAAACTGGTGTCATGACAACTGGGATTTCATTCGAGGAAAATGCATGCTGTATCCTTCGTGATTAATTCTAATTTGCTTCCTGATCATTGTCATAGGCATGTGTGCAAACATTTGTATACACATTAAAAGATCTCTCTTTGTATCATACCACACAAAGTGTTGCTGTATATTGCTGTATAAATCAGCACCACATCATCCAGTATATATGGTTGTCCTGTAGATTTATAAATACAGTTTTAAGTGGAAGGCTTTACATTTTCATGAGCCTTTATAATTACAACTGTTATAACACATGCCAGAATAATCTAAACGATACAGAGACAATGTTTTTATTCCCATTTGTGATAATTATTGATTGTTCATATACAGTATGTTTAAAATCTCAAGGTGATCCATTAAAAGAAACCCTTTAATAACAATAACATAATACATTAACAGCATTTCAATGAGTAGCTCTGTTGATTTATGTTGTTCATTGATGTCCGTTATTAAAAACTATTCAGACTTACTTTGATATAGAAAGTGCGTCAGAAACAGTAGTGATGTACAGCTGCTATCTTGACCAGGTCTTTAAAAGTAAATCAATCAATTTCAAAGAAAAAGGATTAAAAACAATAAGGTTTAGTATTTGATTTTTAAACCTTCATCTCACATTTGATTGTATACGAAATGATAGTGTGTAATTGGGAAAACACATTTTTTTGCTTTTTTTATTAAACTGCTGAACAGCACTAAAAAAAAAAAAGTTGTTATAGTTGCACTGAAGCCATCTCTCCGTCAGTGGTATCACATCTGACTACAGCGTATTTTAAGAGACCATTTGAACTATACCAGAATAGGTCCGTCTTTATCTCACAAGTGCATGTGGAGTGAGTGGGCTCCACTAAAATAAATCTTTCAGAACAGCCTAAAGCCAACTGGCACTCATCATACATAATGTAATAGTTCATCATGTTGCCCAGATGCTAAAATCATTTTTCATACATGCAGGTCTAATCCATTCTGTCTATCAGCTGTGTGACTGTTCCGGTTAAATTGCAAATGAATGAACCCTGCTGTACAGGCCACTGAGGTCTCAGGTGACATGTAGCCTCCTCCTGGTGTTTTTCTTCTTTTTCTCGTCAGTGCGCAGTTAGTCTTTTAATTTTATTTCCAGTTTTTAATTTGCAATTCAAAAAAATGAATTATTTTTTTGCCTAAAGCCTTATGTAAAGTACTTGAGTTATTTATCCTACTTCACATTTCTCCTCCACTTTCTGAGATAGGATTTCTTTTTTGTATTTTTTATGTTTTAACAGTTTTTTTTAGAGACTCTAATTACCTTATGAATTAAGGGTTTTTTCTAATTGATTCATTTACTTTTGTGATTTTTGTGTGTTTTTGAATAATGGGTGTAAAAACATAAGTAAGCTTGCAATAATCAATCAACTGCCAGGAGCACAGCATTCCTGGCTTTGACCTGACTTTGCTTTTTACTGCCTCTGCTCTTCCCTGTATATCTGCTTTATGAGGCTGGATTGTCAAGTGGACTTTTTTTCACACTCTAGCGTTTACATAGATTTTTACACAAAACAACATTATTTCAAAATGTGACACTCCGAATTTGGCAACCTTACAAACTCTGGTAAACTCCAACCAAGTTACGCAGTACAGCATCTGTGAATGCACAAAACACCAAATCTTAAAGCAGGTGGGCTACAGCAGCAGCCTACATCAGGCGCCACACCTACAAACAGAAAACTGAGGTTGCCATTCACATGGGCTGACCAAAATTAAACAAAACGTTGGAAAAATGTTCCCTGGTCTGATGAGTCTTTCTTTTCTAACATTTGGACAGAAGGGTCATAATTTGGAAGAATAGATTCATCCTGCTTTGTAGCAACACTTCAGACTGGTGATGGCGGTGTAATGGTGTGGAGGATATTTCTTTAGCGCCAACTGAGCTGTTAGAATGGCCAGTAGCGGCTGGGTTCAAATAGGAGACTTGAGGCAGAGATGAGGTGCAGACCAACTACAGGTTTACTCACCAACATTAAAATACCAAAGCATAACATAGCATAAAACAATGTAGCCCAGTGGTGGGACACGGTGCCAGCAACAGCCTCTGATGTAACTGACAGCCCTTTACAGACTGCTGCTAATTGGCCCTCAAGCCATACCGTTATCTGGTGTTACGTAGTAAACATCTTATCGAATAACCCTTATTAATGCCAACCAATACTATAGATATAATTACAATACATAATTACAATTATTAAAGCAAATGTTTTCCTGCTTGATCTACCAACTACAATCTACAATAAAACTAATATGGCTATTTAACGCCCTCTAATATCACATGGTGCCACTGGGAATTATTAAAAAGGCATTCGGGATGCCTGGGGACTCTTGGCTTTTGGCCTTTTGGCAATATCAAGAGAAAATGGACGTAAGACTATCCTCTCATCGCAATATTAACTTAGGGTATACGTTGTCTCTCCTACTAATTAGGTTACACATCAGGTAAGTGTTAAAGTAATGTTTTTCCACCAACTTAACCACAACTTAACTTTCCATACTAATTGAAATTTCTTTTCCTAGGCAGAAAATGACCAGTAGCACCTGGAAGACTGCCCAGTTTTAAAAAAAAAACAAAAAAAAAAAAAACCCTAAAGCCAAATAGCCAATAAAAACACAACAAACTTTTTGTATAAGTCCCCTTTTTAAAAATAAACAGATAAACATATACAAGTGATTTTATTATTTAGGAATGAAGAAGACCTTCATTACATAAGCATCATTTAAACTCTACAGTGTTGTTGTTCACATGTACATCCTTTTAACAGCACAGTGTTGTGCCATATCACAAAGCCCAAACTAGTTTAGTAATTAGTATTTACTATTACTAGCGAAGCGTATGGGTATGTTTAATAAGGAAGCGCTATAATCACACTTCTGGCTTCTTCCCAGGTGTTTGGTGGCTAATCTATGCTTTATATTACTTATACTTTCCCACACCATTAAACTCATTGCCGACCTCATTGGTTTAGTCCAATCATCTTTCTTCTTGCCTTCTTCAGGACAGTCAACCTCAACTTCGCATAATTTATATCTCACTGCTCCTTTGTCATTCTCCCTGCATACACTTCTGCAAGCCACCTCCTCCCAATATCCGCCTCTCCCATGTTACTCGAGCTCCATCCAAGCCTCCATCTTTATTTCCACCACCAGCGTCTCGACCCCGGGGGTTCCTGCCCTCAGTCCTATCACAGCTGGCATTCTATTCAGCTAATCGCTAAATAGCTTAATTGAATTCTGTTTATCAATTAATCATGTTCAATTCCTTTTAATGAGCTCTCACTGTTGAAAAGTTCAATATACTGAAATGGTCATTAGATCTCACCTCTGGGAAAACATTAATTGCTCCACTGTTGCTCCTGGCATCTGTATGTTTCCATATTTTAACATAATATTTAATAGCAGGCTGTTAAATGAAAAGAGGCTGTGCAATTTAAACAGTGAGGTATGCAAAATAATTTAATTTCAATGTTAGGTGTGATGTGTCTCTTAACTGGACACACATTACAAACTATTTGAACTGTTAGGCCTGAGTTGGCTGACTTTATACTGTTTGCGTGACATATTTTTTTCACTCCTGCTGATCAAACATTCTGTGTTGCTGATAAATATTGTTTCAAGAAAAATAAATCAACCAAATTTTGGAATGCTTTTTTTTTACCCTTTCACAAACTCCCTTTCCTTCCTTCCTTGCCTACCCCATCCCCTTTCCACTGTTTAAAAAAAAATCTATTTTTATTAAATATACAAATATTTTTTGTAGTTTCATTTTTTACCCAATAGTAACCAATTAGCCAACAATGTATTTTATTTTCTGACATTAACTAATAGACTTCAACAACCTATTTCAGGATCAGGAGTTTTTAGTAGAACGATAGTATTTTATTCTTGTACTTTCCCGTGAGGTATGAGCTGCTCACTCTGTTGTAACTGCCTGTCCTTGACAAATGACTGTGCAGTGACTGGCCCTTGTTTACACAATAAGTAATGATTAGGTTGGGAGATTCGTCTCCACAAATGAGTAATTTGGAAGTGAGCAGTGATAAATCTGATATAAGCAGCAGTCTGCAGATGGACACACATTCAATTGCAGTAAGTATTTTTTGTTGTTTTTTTCACTGTCATTTGCGTGTCTGATTGCCGTGTGCATAAACTGATTTGAAGATTTGTTACTTGTAGCATTGTTTTGTAGTAAATGCAGATGTAATAATTTCCTTGTATTTAACTGTCACTTCTACTCGTGTTCTTTTCTAGATATGAAGTCCTGGTATGTTCTTGCTTTTCTGTGGTTGTCATGTTTCTGCCACAGAGCTCTTTCCTGCCCAGCTCTTTGCACCTGTTATCCCAGAAGAAATGAGGTGGTCTGTAATGAGGTTCCCCTGACAGAGTTCCCCTCTGACGGTCTCCCGGAGAACACCACCCTGCTGACTATCCAATTCACAAACATCACCTCCATATCTGAGGCCCATCTAAATGCCATACCCAAGTTGCAAGGGCTCCATCTGTACAACAATCACCTGCACAGCCTTCCCTCTCATCTCCTCAGGGGCGTTCCTCACCTCAACACTTTGGATCTCACCGGAAACAGGCTAAGCAATCTGCCTGCAGATGTCTTCAGCCACGCCCCACTACAGAGCTTGGTGCTGAAGAATAACCTTATTAGAAAAGCTGATGCAGAGTGGCTTTCTTATAACAGTAGCCTGACCTGGTTGGATTTATCTGGAAATGAATTAACAGAAATCCCAACTAATCTGCTTCTGAAGCTGCCCCACCTGGAGAACCTTGACTTCTCAAACAACCGTCTGGATAAGATACCAGCAAATTCTCTGAGCCAACTGAGCAAACTTGAGAGGCTAAGGCTGCAGAACAACAAGCTCGACACGCTGAATGGATCTGCATTTCAGAGCCTGAATAGCCTCACACATCTCTTCCTCACTCAGAATAAACTCAACAAGCTGCCCAAAAACCTGTTCCAGGGACTCACTCAGCTCAGACACCTGAGTCTGGATGAAAACCAGCTGAGCCATATTCCTCCAGGTTTGCTGGATGAACTTGACTTGCTGGAAGAGGATGGCCTCGACTTGACAGTCAACCCTTGGCTCTGTGACGGGAAGGCAGAGTATCTATGGAAGTGGCTTCACGAGAACAAGAAGAAGGCTTTCTTGCCAGACTCCATCACATGCGCTGGACCTCAGCCTCTAGCAGGTCGCTCAATAATATCACTAACAGCAAATGAACTAAACCTTCAGTCTTAATATTACTCCTGCTGGTCTTTACCTAACATAAAAAGAAATCCAGTTCGGCCTGTCGGATTTGAATCACTAAAACATGATAACTATGTGACTATAAATAAATCTGATATAAATAAGAAATTTGAGAATTGTATTTTTTTATTTCATTAAATTTAAATTCATTAAAGTATAGTGTGTTCATGTTACATTATTTTCTTGTTTAGATTTAAATGAGAAAGTCTGCAGTATTATCATGGATTTTATGTTGCCATTTAGCTTAGCTTCACACAAAGGAAAATAATCCACCCACCAGAACATCTAGAGATCTCTAAAACCTCCTGTTTTGTTTGTTTGTTTGTTATTTTTATTCAAACAATGAATGACATTTGTAGGCAGCTTTTTGGCCAAAACCAGGCCAACCATTTCACCCGTTTTCAGCCTTTCTGCTAAACTATAGTATTATAACCTGCTATTCTCGGGAATAGTATCCCTCTATTCATTAAACTGCTAACATTAACAGGCTGAGTTCTGAATCTCAAGCACCAACATATAGTTGTGACCTTGAGGGATAAAAATTAAGCCTAATGCCTACTTTTGTTATTTGTTTTCTTTTTGCACAAGTTAATTAATAATGTATCACACATGTACCCTTGCACATTTTGTTCTTGAAAAACTGAAAAAAAAATATTGATTTATGTGTGGTAACATCAACTTACTTTTAGAAAGTACAGAAAACAGTAACCACTCACTTTGTTTGCTTGGTTTTGTTTGCCTATTGCAACATTTTGTCCTGACTCATTGCTGGAATCAAATATCCTCAGAGTTGTGTAAAATCAAGTCAGCGATCAAAACCTGGAGGAATTTCAGCTGTGCTTTTCAGGTAACGACACATTTATAATCACATTGTCACAGTTTTATTACCTGTTGATCTTTTACACTGTTGTTTTCGTCTCAGTGTATTTTTTCTTAAAGATGAACCTGTGGCTGCTTCTTACTCTCACTGCTCTGGCTGAATATGCTTACCAAACGAGAGGCACCCACTCGTGCCCAGATCTGTGCACTTGCTCCTTTCTACCTTCGAGTGCAGAGGTGGTGTGCCACCAAAGCTCCCTCACATATTTTCCTGCAGATGGTTTATATCCCAACATCACACGATTGTCCATCCAGTCCACAAACCTCAGCTTCATTACAGCCAGACATCTGAGTTTTGTGCCTCTTTTAAACCACCTCCAGCTGTATCACACTAATCTTTCAAGTCTTCCTTCAGACCTACTGGGTGCCATTCCTCACCTGCGTACGTTGGATCTCACAGGTAATCAGCTGATTCATCTGCCCCCCAAAGTCTTCGTTCATTCCTTGCTCCGTAGTCTGGTGCTGAAGAATAATTTAATTGAAAAAGCTCATGGAGAGTGGTTTTCCGACAACAGCAGTCTCACCTGGCTGGATTTGTCTGGGAACCGTTTAACGAGCATTTCAGCTTCTCTGCTTCAGAAGCTGCTTCATCTGGAAAATCTCGACCTAAGTCATAACCATCTGCAAGAGCTACAGCCCGACACACTAGCAAACCTACATCACCTCGAGACACTAAACCTCGCTGGGAACAAATTAATTTCCCTGAAGCCTTCAACGTTTAGTCACAACCTGAAACTCTCACAGCTGTTTCTGCAGGAGAATCAGCTCCGAGAGCTGCCAGTGACGCTCCTCCAGGGTCTGCAACACCTTGAACTTCTGCTGCTTAATCAGAATCGGCTACGGTATCTCCCCTCAGGTCTGCTGGATGACAGAAAATCCTCTTTTCAGATGACCATAACAGGGAACCCCTGGCAGTGTGATGCCAACCTGGAGTATCTGTGGAAGTGGCTCACTAACCATCCTCAAAATGTCTTCTTTCTAGATGAGGTGGTTTGCGACGGCCCTGAAGCTCTGAAACATAAACAAGTTGTTTCTTTAACTGACAGTCAGCTTGATCCTAAATAACAGAGACTCACAATTAATGATGTGACTGTGAAACAGATGTTTTGCATTATTACTGCACATATAACCAGCCTGTTTCTTGTGAGCTGTCATTTATTCCCCCCTTTGTTTAGATATTGTCCAGCCCACCGGGTGGCGTAAGATACTCAATAAATTTTCAGCCCAGAGGGCTGAATAGGCAGTATGGCTCATTTACTCACTATATCCCAGCCAAAAACATGTTAAACCAAATGCATTCACTAATACATTCTCACTGAATTGATTTTCTTTCAGGCTTGTTTTCTGTAAGATTTATAACCGCAGATTGAGATAAAGTAACCCAGGTTTAAAAATGCTCTCACTTCCATAAGGGATTAAACATATTTTCATGAATAATCAATTTATAGTCCAGAGATTAGGACCAGAAATGGACGTCCTTGATAAAAGAGAAGAGAAGAGCTCTTGTGAGATTTCTCATGGTGCACGCTTGCACCAACAGCTCTGTCTCGCTTGTTTGTTGTGTTGCAGATTGCAGCATTGTTTCAGTTGTGCCCTTTTGTTTTTAATGATGTTGAGCATGTGGGAGTGAGTGGGCAGTGCAATGGCTCAGTCTTGCAGCTGACCTCTTCTGGATGTGTTTAAATATCTCCCTTTTTCTTTCTTTAGGTTTCTTTTCTCTCTCTCTTTCTTTCATATTGTGTATGGGTATATATCTTCTGCATGCCCACACACCCCCATACTCACGCCTTGATCACAGTGAGTGCACTGGACTATAATTTATTACTTTTATAGCATACAAAACATTGGAGCCTCTTGAGGCTGTTACTTATGAAAATTAAACCTTGTTCATAAAAGTTCCCCAGAGAGTGGAAGAAGAACTCAAATGGATTGATGTATGTCTTTTATTCCACCTCTTTGAATTGTACCCTGAAGGTTGAAGGTCGAGGAAGTGGGCTCAGTGGTTCAAATCCTAATTCCCTCTAATGAAAATTCTCTCAGGTTGTGAGCAGATGCATTGAACTCGACCTTAACAACGTCCCTTTCTGTTTGTCTTTAATCTGCTTGTGCTTCTACAACCCACAGGCTCTGAGGTTTAGAAGTGTGTGGTAGTGGTGGGCATTACTTTGCAAGGAAAATGAGGATGAAACTTTTCTAAGTGCTGATGAGCACAGAGGAATGGAGTCTGTCTAACTGTCTGCTAATGAAGGACACTAAAGTCTAATAGATCACATGCGAGGCTTGGAGACAAGAAAATTACTGTAGCCTTTCTGACTTTGTTCTGCAATAATGGAGATGTGATTTTCTTTGATTGCTGCTAATTAGCACATGTTAGAACACATTACTTGGGATTAAATGTGCCAAATTTAAAATAACATATTATTTTATTTTTCACTATATTAGAGTTGCGGTCATTTTAGTGTGTTTCTTTTTTCAATCAGCAACAATAGTCTTGATTTATTTTCTTCAGGATGTATCAATGAACTAAAACAGCTTGTTGAGACTCACATTTTATTCTGAATTGAGCAAAGAAGAAATACCTTGATTTTCAAAGGAATTTGTTTTTTGACTATGTACAACTGATTTTTTTGCATTAAATTGACAGAATAATCTGCTGATCTTTTGTCCTCTTTTCTATTGTCTTACTTTTTGTCCCTCTACAAGGAGGTGAAGAAACCCGATGATTAGTTAAGTAGCCTAACATCCATGTGTTAGGACTGTGGATGGGATTCAGAGCACTCTGAGAAACCCCACGATTTATATTAAATGGCTTCAGCTCTACCTCTGTAATACATGTCCAGTAAAAATGCCATAATGTTATACGCTGATATATAGATACAGATGCTGTCAAAGTACATTTTGCTGATAAAAGTAAACTAAAAAGATTTAAATGTACAAAATTGTATTACTACTAAGCTCATTTGACATGTAAATGATATTTTGATGTATTTCTGGCATGCTAACCAAAAAGGTTACATCACACATGCAGCAGTCATTCATTTAGAAATGTGTTTTTAAAGCAAATGTAAACGCTTTTTGCTGTGGTTTTGATCTCCACCATTCAGCCTACTCAGTATCTTCTACTGTCTGCTCTTTGGTCATGAGCAGGAAATGAGTAATTGGTTTTTAGAGCCTTTTCTCAAAAGGGAGACGATGCTGTGGGACTGATATTGAATCTTCGACTGGAAAACCACAACATTGAGCTGAGTGACGCTTCAAAATTTGAGCCGAAGTAAAACAGAAGGATAACAGTCTGCAGTGAGTTAGCATATTCTACTGTTCTAGTGATGGATGGATATTCTTCAGACTTTAGAGAAACCAAAGTCGTTATTAGTTCTGCATGTGAGTCACATTGGGGAGGTTTTCAGCATCAGGGAAAGAGTTTTATGATCTCCGAGTTTGAACAGAGTGTCGAAACAGATTAGAAAAAGGCTTGCATGTGACTCAGATGTGCAAAAGCTGCACTGCCATGACTTTGACGTCATTGTTTTGCAACTGTCAGTAAAACATGCCAGCACTGATAAGTTTGATTCAGATGGGTTGGTAAGCTTCGAACCAGTTCTTGATTCTGATCCTCGTTCACAACAGAAAAGAAGTTCTCCCTTAGTCTCACGCTTCTTCTTATTTTAGTAACTGCTGCTTAAAACATTGAGGTATAATCAAGCGTACCATTATTTTATGCAGGGCACAAACTTAAGCTCAACCACAATCCCAGCAGATCATCTCAGGGCCACATCAGCTAACAACCTAACTGAAACCCTTTTATGCATCCTATTGGACAATCTCAGTTTATGACTACAATTCAGGCAGCTTTGGCCTGCCTACATTTAGACCACCAATCCACTTTGCAACCCACCTTCTCTGATCTGTCTGACTTGATCAGTGTTTGTTCTTATCGCCTGATCTTTGCTGTGCTTGGAGCTCGCTGCTACTCCTCCTGCCTCTGGCTCTAAGGTTGTTTTTGTTTTTTACCTGTACTGATGTTGTTCACCTTTATTCCTCGGCTTTGATATTTCATAGGTCTTACTCACCTTTTTATGCCGAGTGTGTTTGAGCTCGGGCTGTAATAAGAGAAAAGGTTGTTAGACTCATTAAAAGCTTTCCTCAAGGTGGGTGAGAGAAGTCACGCTGTGGCTGCCTTCAGGAGCTCGAGGCCATTACCGTGCAAGCACTTAACAAAAGTAACACACTCCCACTGAACCCTTTATCAACCTTCCCACGTTTTTGCCAGTGATTGAGGGCACTTTTATTTATCCGTCAAACCCGTGCATGTTTAGGATCAGCGTGTATTCCTTCAGCACATTTGATCAATAATACCAGAAGCAGTTAAAGGTGATGGGTTTGGGGAAAAATAATTAAAAATGTTTTGTTTATCATAATCATATATGTGGATTTTATTCTTGTTATTTTCCTGCTCATATATCACCTCACTACATGACAACATAAACATGGCGAAAGAAATGTGATGTAGTATTTGTGCATTATCCCATTATTGGCAAAGTGAACTGAGGTTGCTTCGCCTACTGTATGATTGGTTGTTGTAAATGGCCTCCCATGCTCTCTGGGGAATTTCGCTGTTAAGAGGCTCTGCCTAGATGGATGCCACGTTTAACACTGTGCCATAAATCACCACTGTTTTACTGCAGGAACAAAGGTTGTGTGAGGTTACCTCAATATCCCCAGACATAGGAAAACAACGAAAAACAGCATCCATCAAAATCTCAGTAAAAACGCAGACATAGGTGGAGGAAATCTGTGATTGTGGCACCAAAATATGAAGAGAATTTCACCACAATCGATGAAGAACATAAAGCTCCACTCATGATGGCTGTTTAAGAGGGAAGACATCCTTTTAGTATCTAGATATGGCCAAGTAAGGCCACAAAACATCTGTGGGTAAAGATTCGGTATGCTTTATACTTGTCAATTTAACTTGGGGAAGTGGAAGTCAGGTTTATGTTATTCCAAAGCTGATGTACAAAAAAAAAAAGAAAAGTGTGTGATCTTTCCTTGACAAGCTCATTCCCACCATTAAAACAGACAGATTAATTCCTCCTTTGCCTTCAGGCTGTACAAACTGCAGGATAAGAAGCTGATGTAACATCTTTCATCTCAATATCTTGTCACAGCTACTCCTGCCGTGTCTCATTCTATAATTTTTTTGTCTTTCCAAATTGATTTCTTGATTACAGTTCATGTGTAATCACCCACCGTGACACAGGCAGAGGACAAACGGAGAGTGCTCAGAGAGTTTAATTACCTCCAAGCACAAAGCCAAGGACTCGGCATTTCATCACGGTCTAACATATAAATCTCCTTGAGGACCCCTCGCATCCTCTGCCATAAGTTTTCATGTCTGCTCACTGATGTTCTTTCACTGAGCTCATATGGATTATCATCTGGCACCATCTGTCCTGGGGGGCTTTATGCAGTGCTTATAACAGACCTTTCACCTGTTGTTGGGGCGCTTGCAGTGGAGTCACACAGAGCTGCCAGCAGCCACTGAAACTTGTTCAGAGCAGTTAGAAACGAGGTTAAGACCACTGAGGAATCATGTGTCATTGACAGGCTCTGAGATTAGCTTAAGTCAACTGTTTCTAAGTTTAAAAAAATAAAACTAATAAGGAAAGAGCTCATTTGTCACATATAAGAGAGCTTCTGAATAGATCTCTGTTTTTTAATCTTTTTTTCTTTAAGGAAACTGACTGTGCATGATTGCGGAGGATTAGCCAGGAGCTGAAATCGCTCTATTAAGGCTCGCTTTCTCCTGGCTCAACACATAAATCTTCAACTTTTGGGAAATGTGCTCCTTAGTTTTTCCTCAAAGTTAATGTAGATGAGAAGATCCCACTCCCCCACAAAAACTGACTAAATCAGACAGCCAAAGTTTAAAAACAGGGATTTGACGTTTTATGGAGGCTTATGAGTTCCTGTGCACTTTACAGTTTATCTATATTTAAAGTAAGATGGGCTCAATGTTCTAATCTATAAAACTGGGTTTGTCATGGCCGTCTTTTATGTAGGGATAATAGAATTTTTCATAAAATGGATTTTGCCTACAATGCTGTGAATATTCTTTATTCAAACCACATTTCTTTTTATTTTCTAAAACAGGAAAATGGTACAGGGATTTATTGAAAGATATTTGGTATGGTCGCCTTTGTGCTTCAACACTCTTTGAACTCTCCTAGGGAAGCTTTCTTGTCATTTCTTCAAGTAGTCTTCAGGAAAACATCTCCAGGCTTCTTGAAGGACATTGAAAGCTCTTCTTTGGATGCTGTCTGTCTTTTTTTTCTCCATCACAATGATCCAACACTGCTTCGATAATGTTGAATCCTGGGCTCTAAGGAGGCCAATCCATTGTGTGTATTTCTATCCAGGTATGCTTTTACTGCATTGGCAGTCATGCTGAAAAATCAACCTGATGCCAATCAGATGCCTTCCAGATGGTATTGCATCCTGGATCAAAATCTGACCATACTGCTCTGTGTTTATAATTCAGTCAATTTTGTAAAGATCTCCAACACCACTGGCTGAAATGCAATGCAAACCAAGACAGAGCCTCAAAGAGCCTTTACAGATGGCAGTAGACACTCACTGTTGTACCTCTCTCCTGACCTACCAAATGCTGGCAATGATTTGAATCACCATTTGGACTGATCCCTCCATAAGATCTACTACTCCTGTTTCTCAGGTTTTTCTCCCTGTTTCCCTTACTTTAAAAATGGCTTCTTGACAGCAACCCTTCCACTGAGACCATTTCTGATGATGCTTCACTGAACAGTATATTTAATCGGCTGAATGACCAGATGTATCTCTCAGGTTCCTGTTTCTTAAGGACATATAACTTTAGGACACTGATCATCATCTCCTGCAGAAAGTCTTTTTAGTCCCGCCACTTCTTATTTTGTCCTCTACTTGCTTCTTAAAAAAGTTTCTTTAAAAAAGTTTTAAGTACACACTATACACCACACTGAGATATGCCAAGTTTTCAGCTAAGAGCTCTTTGGGAATCATCTCTCTTGGAGCAAAAATATTCTATGCCTGTCAAGTTTTGTTATTTTTGACATTTTTCATAGATTCAACTAAAGAAATTGGCAGAAATTATAAGTGATGAGTGAAAAAACAGCCAATGCCCAAAGAAAAACTTTTAACAACCTCCAGAGACCCTGGAGAACTGTTGCTCAAGACCGCTTTGAAAAAAATTACATAAAAGTCTGAATCCACAGAAGCAAAATCTAAGAAATATAAGTAAAGAAATTAAGCACAACTCAACACTTTTGCAAAGTATTGTATTTGTATAAAACTTTAGCTAATTTCCTCTTGTTAGCCTCCAGGGATAGAAAGCCCAGGCTAGATATTACAATACTGCAAAGCTGTCACACTTTGAGAAATGGAAACTGCATGACTGAAATCTTTTATGACAGAGACAAATTTCACAACCCAGAGGAGATATACATCTGATAATGCCCCCACTAAATATTGTTTTTATGACCTGCCACCCTAAATTGATTGTAATTATTGTTGGAACCCACTACAGGACAAGGATGTTCCACTCCATAAAGCTTCATTGTCTCTGGATAAGATAATCAGCACCTGCAACTGTGTCAGTGGGCAG